AAAATGAAATTGATGATATTTACAATAAATATATTGTCGCCCATGGGTAAGACCATGTGATTTTTTTGGTTCGTAAATTATATCAACTAAACAACAACCATCTTAGAATAGGGCTATATACTAAATTTAAATACGGTGAATCCTTGTCAAAAAATAGTATAGCAATTAATGCGACACAACTGATGATCAACATATCACTAACCGAAAAGTTGTCCCAGCAAGTTTATTCGAGCCAATGTTTTAACGACGCAGCCACGTTTCAATATTCATCTATGATAATCAGTAACATAATTATATTAGTTTAATCATATGCACTACTTCCGGACAGGCATCCTATGAAGTCACCGCTGACATATAAGACCAAAGGCCGCTTATTTGCAAGCCCGGGTAATACACTATAATCCGTGTTATGCAGCTAGACACAATCTTATGGCTGGCGACCCATATAATGAATTTATACATCGTTCTACAACTTTTGAGCTAGACTACAGGACTTTTCACTAAACAGTATACAGACGACGAAACCGCAAGATCTTTGGTCCTGACGGCTGAGTAGATACAATATAATACAAATACTCCCCCCCCACACCTCCGACCCCGCCACCCGCACCCCCACTCCCGCCCCCCCCACCTCACCACCACCCCCCCCCCCCCCGCCCCCACATCCCCCCCCCCCCCCCCCGCCCCCCCCCATCCCCCACCACCCCCCCCCCGCACCCCCCCCCCCACCCGCCACCCCCTCCCCGCCTCCCCCCCCCCCCTCCCCCCCCCCCCACCGCCGTCCCCCACCACCCCCACCCCCCGGTACTATATCGAATTATTATAAACCTATTATTATTTTATACTGTCCTTACTTGAACAGATTCAATTAGACGTGAGACGCTCTTTGGTAAATTGGGCCGGGTGCCAGACGGGTGCAGCATATTCCATAATCGGTCTGACGTAATCACAGTAAATTTGGACGAGATCTTCACAAGCTAAGCCTAGATTTTTTTTAGTATACGAACGCATGCATTCTGTTTACTGGCTCTAGCCACCAAATCTTGAATGTGTGGTGGCCCATTTAATGCTGTTTATGCTGTTATTCTCCTGTTTTTTTTTTCAGTCGCCAGTGTATGAATGTCTTGCTTCTGTATTTTGCACTTAAATTTTTTTCGTTGAACCCATAGTGGAACACCTGACTAAAAAATAACTATTATTTATTAGCAGAGCATATATAAATCAGGTGATTTATATGCTCTGTTATTAGTTATTTTTAGTCAGTGGTTGAACGATACGTGGTGGGCAGTAGTGTTTGTGCGCACTTCGACGGCTGTTGCATTTTCCGCCAACAGAGGGCGTTAGTAGCGCACCATGGCGGAGGAAGGCGAAGGGCGACGCGTCATAAGTGTAAATTCTAGTGATAGTACAACTACAAGTAGTGATTCTCCCATGGAATCCTCCTACAATTTCACCACCGATGGATAACGGGAACATGTCGTTTCCGCCGTACTTCCAGCCACCAATGACTCCTGAGAAAATGTTCATGATGGATTCAATGAAATGTTGCGTGCTGCGTTTTCTTGCTCTTCTCAGACTTCTGCTGTGGTACTGGTAGTGGTAGTGCTAGGCCTAAGTGGTGGGCCAGACGAACGCAGAAATGATGGCACGGGATTCACGATGCGTCTAGTGTCAAGTAGTGATGCCTGCATCGAGCGGTTGCCGAATTGAACTTTGTGTCGCATATGCGGCGACAGAGCGCGACCGGTTCACTATTCTGTGTATAGCTGTGAGGGTTGCAAAGGCTTTTTCAAGGAACAGTGCAACGCGTGGTCTGGTGTACACATGTAAGGAGGGAAGTCGCATGTGTGTCATAAACAAGTACACAGAAATGCATGCCAGTACTGTCGCTTTCAAAATGCGCGGACACAGGAATGCGGCGAGATCGGTAGGTCTAATGGACGTGTACTAAGAATGTCTGTGTTGTACCTACTAAGTACTAGTTGCCCGTGTAGTAGTAGTAGTACTAGTACTACATAGTACGTACTACTACTAGTGTGGAGATTTCAGGTGGTGTAAAGGCCAAAGACACACTGAGCGACAACGACCGACCGTAACGACAAACAACTTTTTAGAAAATTAGAAACTATTGTTTCCTTGACTATGAGCCATTGCACCTGACGCGACAAGATGACGGCGGCGACAACCTCGACGACAAAAAATATTTAGAAACGTTTCTATTTCCCAGCGACTTTCGCCGCGGACACTTTCAGATGGCCAATCACAGTCGTTTCCATCGGCACGTGACATCGCCATTCGTCATAAAATATAAACCAATGCTAGCCAGGAAGTAGACTGGTCCCAGCGCATAAACTCGCACCGGCTGTCAGAAACAGTGGGGCGCGAACCCATCTAACAAAACGTGCAAGGCTTAGGTCAGCCATCAGAGTTTCGTATAATATTCTGCGTATATATTACTTTATATATTATCGTTATACATAGGCGTTTTACAGGCAATTTAACCCCCCCTTCGCGTGCTCCTGTACACGCCCCTGGTTTCGCCCCCCCTAAGAAAATACCCTGGCGCCGCCCCTGCTAATAACAGAGCATATAAATCACCTGATTTATATATGCTCTGCTAATAAATAATAGTTATTTTTAGTC